GCTCAGGCTGCTCCAAATTATCTCCCTGATCCGCTGAACCCTTCTAGCTTGTCGTACTCTAGAGTGGCCAGGTATGTCAAAACACAAACACCTCGAGTCTTCGGGCACAAGAGTTGCAGGGAGAACGTAAGCAAGTGAGTAAGTGAGAGACAGAGGGGAAGAGACGTGAATGACTGCACACGGTTTGACTGAGTGGCAGGGTCTCACAATAACTAAGTTAATCAATGGGAGTGGAGCAAATTAAACTCAACCCCTTTCGAGACGGTACAACGCGGAAGCAATTGGTCACCAGAGACAGGTGCCTAGAAGCTACGAGTAAAAGGGCCGCACTAAATGACAGTGGTGGAAGAACAATCTTTGTATGAAAAAGGGCGAAGGCTCAAATGGGTTCCCTAATGAGAAATCAGCGGAACTGCGAACACTAATCATTTTTTTTTTATTATTATTATTATTATAAAAGGCTAATTCTTTAAGCCCAACCAATTCAATTACCTGTCAAATCTGGACAGGACGGCCTTTCAGGCCTTTTTTATTGTTCATTATAGTATTACGGGGAACCCCGTAGCAGCCACATCCGTGCTCAAGCCTCCAATGAGGGAACATGCGGGAGCTGCACCCACCAGCAGGTGCGATACCTGCTACAGCAGGTGGGCGATACCGGCCAGGGGTCAGCCGGTAACATCAGGACCAAGCTTCTTCGATGGGCCAGTCACTGTGCCTCCCCTCCGGTCCCCTGCCCCTATGAACATCAACAGTCTCTGCTCAATGCCACTCGGGGGGACCAACGGCATATCTCTAGGTGGCGGGCGCCAAACTTGCCCAGGAAGGTACATGAGGCCAATGGGGATTGAACCCAAGACCTCCTGAATGCCACTTGCGTGCCTTACCAACTGAGCTAGGCCGCTGGATCACTAATCATTCTCATCTCCTTATTTATTTGTTTTTCGTACAATTTATTTACTTTTCTTTATTTCTAGCGAACTGATACCATAGCAGGATACAATCCCTCCTGATGGGAAGAACCAGACGGCCGTGTTCATGATCACGCGCTACCCCTGTATCGCTTGGCGTAGACCTGCGCCACGGGGCATCCGGGACCGCTTGAGAGAGCGAGTCCTACAACAAAGAACTTCGCCAGGCGCACGGAACCGGTTGTGCGCGTGAAAGAGTGAAACAGACGGATACAATAAGGAGGGGAAACGAGAATGCGCACTGAGAGAGAGGGTAGGCTGGTGATGGGGAAAGCGAAGGGACGGATTGAAAGTGCGCCCCTGTAAGAGTGGAGGAGAGAGAGAGAGAGAAAGAGAGAGAATCCGCCCCTGTAAGAGTGGAGGAGAGAGAGAGAGAGAGAGAGAGAGAGAGAGAGAGAGAGAGAGAGAGAGAGAGAGAGAGAGAGAGAGAGAGAGAGAGAGAGAGAGAGAG